CGTTCATATTTTTGTTGTTGTCAGGCTCTGTTTATTGTTTATTCGAGAGTCGTTATTGAAATCCTATGAGATTTATATTTATCTTATGATAAACTGAGGGTGTTACGTCCAGATTAACCGCCAGGTTATTTTCTTAATATATCGATAAAAGGTTTCGATTCTAAGAAATATATTGCCATTAAGAGAACAAGGGTAGGTAACCCGTCTTTTAATACCCAAAGTTCTGAAACGAGGGAAGTTAGAAACGTTGCTACCTATCGATAGCATCGATTTTCCCTAATTATAGGGTGGCTCAGAACATCGTAATTTTCCATTTAATCTCTTTTTCAAATGTTCGACAGAAACAGTAATGCAACATACTTTTAAACAATATTTATTTATAAAAAAAATTATGAATGAAAATGTTAAAAAAAAAAAAAAAAAAATTTTGCTTGCTAATGAATTGTCATACTTCATACATAATATAGCAAACGGAAATTGTTGGACTAACAATAAAATTTTGACTTCTCAAAGAAACATTAAACGGCACCGGGACACCTCTAACAGAAGCTATATGCTAAATGATATTTTAAGACCTAACGATTATTTTAGCACATAACATTCTCCAAATCAGTTTTTGGTAGAATAAATTTAGGGCTGTTTGCCTTGGGCTTGGTTTGTGTGTATTTTTTCTGCGCAAGAAAATTTGGATATACCTAAAAAATTATTTAAAGCTAATCGTATATACCTAAAACATGTTTTTGTATAAAACATGTCGATTAAGAGCAGTTACAATTTTTTAAACACAATTGATCGAAATCCGTTCTTAAAATTATTAAAAATCGTGTTTTTCTGAGGGCAAATTTTTGAGTTGATAAACTTGTTGTTGCAAAATGCTAAGCCTGACCCTGTATTGTTGTTTTTATAAAAACAACGTTTTTTTATTAGTGGAGAACGATGATAATATTTACCAGGGGTAAGGTAGGGAATACCTAGGTTTCGAAAAGAGCCACCAATCCTCATCAGTTCCATTGTTTTTTGTCTGGGATATTCTCCCCAGAAGTTATATTAAAAATAACTTCTAAGACAAAAAACATTTTTTTACCCAAGTGACGAGATCGTATGCTCAATAGAAGAGGAACCAAGGAATTAAATAAAACTAAAATTCTTTTGGAAAATCTTCTAAATCTAACAACGGCACTTATAAACATTTACATCTTTATCCACTTGTTATACTTTTGTTCTACCTGAACGAAGTAGCATAACCATTGTAACACTCAGTCTACGCGGCGTTATGGTGGGGTTCCGCACTAGCTCAGGAGGGAGCGGTTATCCAGGTGGTTCTCAACCATGCCACAATCAACCCTAGGTAATGAACACTTAAAGAATTGAATCGAATAAACTCAAACTTAAAACTGAAAAACAAACATACACCAATGACACAGGAGCTTGATATTATTGCTCCCCCACTTTGCCCACCCATCCTTGAGCCTTTAGTCCATAAACACACAAAAATTTAAAAGGGCCCCAAAAAGCCACACACACTCTTCTTCTTCTAAATCTTACAACGGCACTTATAAACATTTGCATCTTTATCCACTTGTTATACTTTCGTTCTACCTGAACGAAGTAGCATAACCATTGTAACACTCAGTCTACGCGGCGTTATGGTGGGGTTCCGCACTAGCTCAGGAGGGAGCGGTTATCCAGGTGGTTCTCAACCATGCCACAATCAACCCTAGGTAATGAACACTTAATGAATTGAATCGAATAAACTCAAACTTAAAACTGAAAAACAAACATACACAACATACACCAATGACACAGGAGCTTGATATTATTGCTCCCCCACTTTGCCCACCCATCCTTGAGCCTTTAGTCCATAAACACACAAAAATTTAAAAGGGCCCCAAAAAGCCACACACACTCTTCTTCTTCTTCTAAATCTTACAACGGCACTTATAAACATTTACATCTTTATCCACTTGTTATACTTTCGTTCTACCTGAACGAAGTAGCATAACCATTGTAACACTCAGTCTACGCGGCGTTATGGTGGGGTTCCGCACTAGCTCAGGAGGGAGCGGTTATCCAGGTGGTTCTCAACCATGCCACAATCAACCCTAGGTAATGAACACTTAAAGAATTGAATCGAATAAACTCAAACTTAAAACTGAAAAACAAACATACACAACATACACCAATGACACAGGAGCTTGATATTATTGCTCCCCCACTTTGTCCACCCATCCTTGAGCCTTTAGTCCATAAACACACAAAAATTTAAAAGGGCCCCAAAAAGCCACACACACTCTCTTACTTACAACGCCTCTCTCTCTCTCACACACACAACAAAATTTAGCACAACATATTATTCTTGAAACAATTAGACATTAAACTTTTTTACAAAAAGTGTCAAATTTAGAAAACTTTGGTTCGCATTAGCCGGTGTAGGACATACCCAGAGGAGAAAATCTCAAGCCCCGGTCAAAGGCCGGCTACTTACAAAAGGTATCCAATTTAGAAAACTTTGGTTCCGGTGTGGGACATACCCAGAGGAGAAAATCTCAAGCCCCGGCCGAAGGCTGACGACTGCTACGCGACATAAACCATTTTTTTTTTTATTGAAAACATCATTTTAATGAACTGGTTAGAATCGGGTTATGCGGATGGAAAGACCCCATCTCTGGACCCGGAAACGGTATAAGTACAAATTGTAACATTTTGGAAAGGTAAGAGTGTCAGCTATAATTTGGAAACAATTTTGTTGACCCTCATAATGGGCCCTTTTTTTGACTTTTTGGGGGTTTCATAAAAAATCCGGGTCCAAAAAATCGATATTTTGACTATAACTTACGAACCATGACAAATTCATGTGACCACTTGTTGGATAGGTATTTCCATAATCTTTCAATCGATACCCATATTGTCTATATCGGGTAAGTGGATCCGGGTCCATGCGGGATCTTGACTAGAGTTGTTCCAAAATTAGGAGTAGTATGTAAAATGACAATTTTGACATAAACATTGAAATGTACATGGATAATAAAACTGACAGCACATATATAAAAAATATTCCCTCTGGCAGAGCCCTAATTTAGAACGTGTATATTCACGTGAGTGATTTTTTTCATGGTGGCGTTTTTTTCGCTCTTCCCGGCGTCTTTTAATTTCACTATCATGACGTTGTGATATTTCATGATTCTGCTTATTACCATATTTATCTTTCCTGCAATCTGGTCCGCCCTTCTTTAAATATTCCTCATTTCTTTTTCTATCTACAAGAGGTTCATATCCATATTCTGCCCTTTTCTTACTTTTAATATCTCGTTGATTGTCCGCGTCTACCCATTGAGATTGTTTAACCATCTTAATCCGTTTTGTTCTTGACTTCGATGTAACCCTTTTCTTCCGTTTTTCATTCTCATTTTGGTCCGAGGCCGAACTGTTTAAAGATTTTGATTCACTGATTCTACTTTCAGAGGAAGAAATGTCCTTTTCTGTCATTCGCTTCTTAGTATTTTTGTTTGGGGCTTTTTTATTTTTACTTAATTTTTTTTTTGTTTTTTCCCTTTTATTCGAAGGATTTTTCTTTTTGGTCATCTTCTTATTTTTGCCTTTATGTTTTTCCTTACTTTCTGAATCATTTGAAGATTCCGACGACGAAAAAGGCGATGGTGCAAACAATTCCGAAGATAAACTATCTGAAGATATTGATTCGTTGCTGCTACTTTCGCTTTTCAAAAAATTATCTTTTGAAGAAGAGTTGTCTTTGTCAGTCCTTCGCTTTATAGTTTTATTCTTAGCGGCTATTTTATTTTTACCTACAAATTTTTTAGTTTTTTCCTTTTTTTTCGAAGAATTTTTCTTCTTGGTCATTTTCTTATTTTTGCCTTTATGTTTTTTCTTATTTTCTGAATCACTTGAAGAATCGTCGTCGGATGGTGCAGACAATTCCGATGATAAAGAACTTGATGATGAGGACGAGGGTGCAGATTTCGGAGCAATCTTTAGGAGTTGACACAATTCATTAGTTATTCATTAGTTATTAGTTATTCTACCTGAACGAAGTAGCATAACCATTGTAACACTCAGTCTACGCGGCGTTATGGTGGGGTTCCGCACTAGCTCAGGAGGGATCGGTTATCCAGGTGGTTCTCAACCATGCCACAATCAACCCTAGGTAATGAACACTTAAAGAATTGAATCGAATAAACTCAAACTTAAAACTGAAAAACAAACATACACCAATGACACAGGAGCTTGATATTATTGCTCCCCCACTTTGCCCACCCATTCTTGAGCCTTTAGTCCATAAACACACAAAAATTTAAAAGGGCCCCAAAAAGCCACACACACTCTTCTTCTTCTAAATCTTACAACGGCACTTATAAACATTTGCATCTTTATCCACTTGTTATACTTTCGTTCTACCTGAACGAAGTAGCATAACCATTGTAACACTCAGTCTACGCGGCGTTATGGTGGGGTTCCGCACTAGCTCAGGAGGGAGCGGTTATCCAGGTGGTTCTCAACCATGCCACAATCAACCCTAGGTAATGAACACTTAATGAATTGAATCGAATAAACTCAAACTTAAAACTGAAAAACAAACATACACAACATACACCAATGACACAGGAGCTTGATATTATTGCTCCCCCACTTTGCCCACCCATCCTTGAGCCTTTAGTCCATAAACACACAAAAATTTAAAAGGGCCCCAAAAAGCCACACACACTCTTCTTCTTCTTCTAAATCTTACAACGGCACTTATAAACATTTACATCTTTATCCACTTGTTATACTTTCGTTCTACCTGAACGAAGTAGCATAACCATTGTAACACTCAGTCTACGCGGCGTTATGGTGGGGTTCCGCACTAGCTCAGGAGGGAGCGGTTATCCAGGTGGTTTTCAACCATGCCACAATCAACCCTAGGTAATGAACACTTAAAGAATTGAATCGAATAAACACAAACAAAAAACTGAAAAAACAAACATACACAACATACAACAATGACACAGGAGCTTGATATTATTGCTCCCCCACTATGCCCACCCATCCTTGAGCCTTTAGTCCATATACACACAAAAAATTTAAAAGGGCCCCAAAAAGCCACACACACTCTCTTACTTACAACGCCTCTTTCTCTCTCTCACACAACAAAATTTAGCACAACATATTATTCTTGAAACAATTAGACATTAAACTTATTTATTTTAAACATCATTGTTTTCTTAATTTCGACATGAACACATAAGAATAAAACTGGACTTTTTATACCGGAACGAAAAAATTGTGAGTCAATACTCAGATTACTTTTTTTATTACACCGCTAGGAGCGCCAAATTTTGGTCAAAAAAACTACTCTAAATTCTGCCTAAAGGAGCTCGCTTAGACGAAAGTTTTGGGCATTCTAAATTCTTGTTCCAAAAAATATAGAAATGGTCTAGCTGTAAATTTTGAGAAAACCCTACACTCCCGAGGAAAAATTACCTGGGCATTAAATATCCTCACAATTATTTCTTAAGTACTATTTATCTAACTACAAACAATACATTTATCTTATATACTAAACTATACAATAACAAAAAAATTTTTTTATATAGTTTTTTTTTTCTTTCTTTTGGTTAAATGCCGATAATCATTAATCGACGAATTTCATATTTTTTTCTATTTTAATAGTTCATCTTTGACAAGGAAAAGGAACTTAATATGACTCTTTTAGCGGGATTTGGCTTTCATTCTTTTCTCCAGAGGAGAAAATCTCAAGCCCCGGCCGAAGGCCGGCTTTTTACAAAAAGTGTCAAATTTAGAAAACTTTGGTTCGCGTTAGCCGGTGTAGGACATACCCAGAGGAGAAAATCTCAAGCCCCGGTCAAAGGCCGGCTACTTACAAAAGGTATCCAATTTAGAAAACTTTGGTTCCGGTGTGGGACATACCCAGAGGAGAAAATCTCAAGCCCCGGCCGAAGGCTGACGACTGCTACGCGACATAAACCATTTTTTTTATTGAAAACATCATTTTAATGAACTGGTTAGAATCGGGTTATGCGGATGGAAAGACCCCATCTCTGGACCCGGAAACGGTATTAGTACAAATTGTAACATTTTGGAAAGGTAAGAGTGTCAGCTATAATTTGGAAACAATTTTGTTGACCCTCATAATGGGCCCTTTTTTTGACTTTTTGGGGGTTTCATAAAAAATCCGGGTCCAAAAAATCGATATTTTGACTATAACTTACGAACCATGACAAATTCATGTGACCACTTGATGGATAGGTATTTCCATAATCTTTCAATCGATACCCATATTGTCTATATCGGGTAAGTGGATCCGGGTCCATGCGGGATCTTGACTAGAGTTGTTCCAAAATTAGGAGTAGTATGTAAAATGACAATTTTGACATAAACATTGAAATGTACATGGATAATAAAACTGACAGCACATATATAAAAAATATTCCCTCTGGCAGAGCCCTAATTTAGAACGTGTATATTCACGTGAGTGATTTTTTTCATGGTGGCGTTTTTTTCGCTCTTCCCGGCGTCTTTTAATTTCACTATCATGACGTTGTGATATTTCATGATTCTGCTTATTACCATATTTATCTTTCCTGCAATCTGGTCCGCCCTTCTTTAAATATTCCTCATTTCTTTTTCTATCTACAAGAGGTTCATATCCATATTCTGCCCTTTTCTTACGTTTAATATCTCGTTGATTGTCCGCGTCTACCCATTGAGATTGTTTAACCATCTTAATCCGTTTTGTTCTTGACTTCGATGTAACCCTTTTCTTCCGTTTTTCATTCTCATTTTGGTCCGAGGCCGAACTGTTTAAAGATTTTGATTCACTGATTCTACTTTCAGAGGAAGAAATGTCCTTTTCTGTCATTCGCTTCTTAGTATTTTTGTTTGGGGCTTTTTTATTTTTACTTAATTTTTTTTTTTTTGTTTTTTCCCTTTTATTCGAAGGATTTTTCTTTTTGGTCATCTTCTTATTTTTGCCTTTATGTTTTTCCTTACTTTCTGAATCATTTGAAGATTCCGACGACGAAAAAGGCGATGGTGCAAACAATTCCGAAGATAAACTATCTGAAGATATTGATTCGTTGCTGCTACTTTCGCTTTTCAAAAAATTATCTTTTGAAGAAGAGTTGTCTTTGTCAGTCCTTCGCTTTATAGTTTTATTCTTAGCGGCTATTTTATTTTTACCTACAAATTTTTTAGTTTTTTCCTTTTTTTTCGAAGAATTTTTCTTCTTGGTCATTTTCTTATTTTTGCCTTTATGTTTTTTCTTATTTTCTGAATCACTTGAAGAATCGTCGTCGGATGGTGCAGACAATTCCGATGATAAAGAACTTGATGATGAGGACGAGGGTGCGGATTTCGGAGCAATCTTTAGGAGTTGACACAATTCATTAGTTATTCCGCCCAAACCAATGGATGTGAAAAAGTTAATGGAGAAGCGTATATTTCGGGGATTATCTTTGTGGAATAGTCCCGCCAAAGTTCCAGCTAAAACTTCAGTCTTAAGTTTTTTATTAAAGTGATCCAGACCCATGTATTCGACCAATTCTTGAAAGAAAATTTTTATAAAAATACAACGTGATGTTATTGCGTCACCTTCAGTTAGCTTTATGCAGTCTAAAACATCCCAACTAATTGCATCGGTAAACAACAAATGAGCAAAGAATTTGCTTATATTCCGCAAACGATTTGTATCTAAACAATGCGTAGTCTGACAGATATCCTTGAAGATTTCTTTGAATGGTTCTATATAAGACTTGTTAATTTTACAAAATCGGTGGGCTAAAAGGCCATAGAACTTCGCATAGGTTCTTTGTTCAGCGCAGCAATCTAACAATATTTGGCAAAACTCATTTTCTTGACAAGTTTCCAATTGCATTTTCATTAATTTTTGGGCACATTCCTCATAATCGAAACTGGAATTTAAGGTAAGATATATTGTTCTTCTTAACGCAATCAGATTCGGTTTCGTTTCATCAATAATGCCACCACTCGTGTATTTATCATTAACCTCATTTTTGCCCTTATCACAGTCAGATAATGCAGTTTCGGAATTACTACCCGAACCGAAGGAGCCATCCGAATCTGAAGCATGGCTACCCAAAATATTCTTACTAAGTGCTTTATATTTCTCTTCATTGGTCTCGTACTGATCGTCGAATTTAAATTCGTCTAAAAATTAATAAATTTAATGACAAAAAAATAATTTATTAATTTCTATTAACTTACTCAATATATCTTTCGGGTATGTGACATCTTCCAACAATAGCAAATGAGTGAATTGAGCATATTCTTCTACCAATTCTAAGGACTCAATAATCGATTGATGGTCTTTAAAGCCATCTCTGCGTACTTGAAATAAAACTTCAATCATATATTGTACACGTTTATCCAACTTGCCTTGATGCAAGATATTTTTAAGCAATTCAAAAATGCCTCCAACCCTATCCGATGATACCTCTGTCAATTTCATACCACATTCCTTAAGAAATGTTATGGCCACTTCAACATTATCATCAGTCGGCGATTCAATTAAGAGTGTTAGAATTTCTAGGGCCAAAATTTCATGTGCCACCCTTTGATTAACCAAGTGAGCAATAAAATGTGAAGAAGACAAACAAATGGTCTTATCGTTACACCCAAATGCTCGTTTGAACTGTATGACCAAACGTTTCAACAGCAATTTCCCAATATTGGGAAATTTTGAATTAATAATGGCCACCATGGCGGCATAAACATGGGTAAATGTTGGCGATGCAGCTTGAGCTTGTATTATGGAATGGCAAAGCACGTCTCTACCACGTACTATATTTTCCTTAAGCAATTTTCGGGCGATAACTGCAACACAATCCACATTGACTTTATTGATGTAACCATGTATGTATTTCTCAAGAGCTTCACGAGCTATACTTTGATATGCAGCCGATGATTTGTCCGTAATTTCTGCCTGCATCATACGCAATTTTTCGGGTGGTAAATTCAATTCGTCTCTTCTTTCATCTTCATCTCTTCTTTTGATTGGCTCAGATCGGCGTAACGGTAGCCTTTCATAATCTGACGACATCGAACGATATCCTTCATGTCGTCTATCTTGTGAACGAATTCGTCGTGGATATCTTGATGGAAGCTTCTTTTCCGGCCTTCGAAATCGACTGTGAGATCTAGTTCGGCTTCTGCTAGATCCCATTCTTTGTCTTAGTCGATTGTCCTTGTCCCTGGAGACAGACCTTTTGGTCGTAGAAGAATCTCGGCCGTGTCCAAAGGAAGTTCTTCGATTTCTTAATACACTTTTTTTATATCTTGATAGACTTTTTTCTACTGAATGAGTTCGGCTAATGTGTCCAGAATAACTTAAACGTGTGTTTCCAGAACGGCTTCTATAGGCGGATAGTTGTTTTTCTTTGGAGAGAGCTCACACAAAAGATTTTTTTTTAGTCTTCTCTGTATTTTTACATTCTTCTGTCTTTGTCATTAGTTCTACTGGGTGTTCATTCGAATCCGTTGTGTAATTATGGTTAGTATTTATGCTATCTTCCTTGGGAAGCATTTCATTCGATCCATCCTCTCTAGGAAATCTTTCAACTAATTTTTCTTCTGCTTCCTTGCATATAGTATATGATAGATCACGTACTACTTCCAATACGACTTCCCTTCGCTCTGATAGAACTTTTGATTTGTTATTTTTGAAATATGTTTTGGAAGACACTTCTCCATCACTTGATCCACTTGTGGACCCCGACATGTAATCAGAAGACGACGAAGACTCAGAACTAGGTTTATTTTTCGGTTTTCGAGATTCGTCGTCGGTGGCGTTCATATTTTTGTTGTTGTCAGGCTCTGTTTATTGTTTATTCGAGAGTCGTTATTGAAATCCTATGAGATTTATATTTATCTTATGATAAACTGAGGGTGTTACGTCCAGATTAACCGCCAGGTTATTTTCTTAATATATCGATAAAAGGTTTCGATTCTAAGAAATATATTGCCATTAAGAGAACAAGGGTAGGTAACCCGTCTTTTAATACCCAAAGTTCTGAAACGAGGGAAGTTAGAAACGTTGCTACCTATCGATAGCATCGATTTTCCCTAATTATAGGGTGGCTCAGAACATCGTAATTTTCCATTTAATCTCTTTTTCAAATGTTCGACAGAAACAGTAATGCAACATACTTTTAAACAATATTTATTTATAAAAAAATTATGAATGAAAATGTTAAAAAAAAAAAAAAAAAATTTTGCTTGCTAATGAATTGTCATACTTCATACATAATATAGCAAACGGAAATTGTTGGACTAACAATAAAATTTTGACTTCTCAAAGAAACATTAAACGGCACCGGGACACCTCTAACAGAAGCTATATGCTAAATGATATTTTAAGACCTAACGATTATTTTAGCACATAACATTCTCCAAATCAGTTTTTGGTAGAATAAATTTAGGGCTGTTTGCCTTGGGCTTGGTTTGTGTGTATTTTTTCTGCGCAAGAAAATTTGGATATACCTAAAAAAATTATTTAAAGCTAATCGTATATACCTAAAACATGTTTTTGTATAAAACATGTCGATTAAGAGCAGTTACAATTTTTTAAACACAATTGATCGAAATCCGTTCTTAAAATTATTAAAAATCGTGTTTTTCTGAGGGCAAATTTTTGAGTTGATAAACTTGTTGTTGCAAAATGGTAAGCCTGACCCTGTATTGTTGTTTTTATAAAAACAACGTTTTTTTATAAGTGGAGAACGATGATAATATTTACCAGGGGTAAGGTAGGGAATACCTAGGTTTCGAAAAGAGCCACCAATCCTCATCAGTTCCATTGTTTTTTTTTTTTTTTTTTTTTTTTTTTTTTTTTTTTTTTTTCTTATTGTTTAATTTATTGAATCTTTCATATATTTAATGAAAATAACAATAAGGTTTCATATCTTATATACTAATATTTTTATAGGGAGGTTGTCAATACAATCACCCCATATTTTTTTCATGCTTTAATTATTATTGTTTTTTTTTTTTTTATAATATAGATGTGTGTTATTTTGTGGGCTTGTGGATACAGTTATATCCGTGAATTGATTGGATAGGTAGTTAAGATTAGTTTAGTTTTTTTAGATACAGATATATCTAAGTGAATCGCGGACTACAGAAATAGTCTTACGGATATAATGTTGCTTTGTTTAGATACAGTTATATCTAATCATCCCGCGGACTACAGTAATAGTCTTATCGATTTCTTCACTAATCTTCCCGCGGACTACAGTAATAGTCTTTTCGATTTCTTCACAGAAGCAGCTTCCAATTTAGCATACTACTACCTGTAGAAGTATAAAAGTGGGCGACGTTCAATTGGCCAGACAAGAGCTGAAAATAATGAGAGCGTAAGACAAAAAAAATAAACTATATGATAGAAAGAGTGTCACGTCTGCGCAGTCTATCGTGGCCTCCGAATAGTAGGAGTTGGCGGGCCAAGTTATTTGGGTGCTCGGATAGTTTGTTTAAGTACCTGCGGCAAAGCTTCTTTATTTCTTCTTCAACAGTAAGTATATTTAGGTCCTTGTGGATGTTTGCGTTCCTTATGTACCATGGTGCACCTGTAATAGATCGAAGAATATTCGACTGTCTTCTTTGTAGTTTACTTACGTTAGAGGCACTAGCTGTACCCCAGAGCTGTATGCCATACGTCCAAATTGGCTTTATTATAGTCTTATATAATAGGACTTTATATTCTAATTTAATAGAAGAACGTATACCAATTAACCACTCAAGATTGGCCTTTTTTAGTTTAATTTGTGTGATTTTTGCATCGATGTGTTGCTTCCATGTAAGTCTTCGGTCCAGGTGCATTCCGAGATATTTTACGGTATCTTTCTGTGGAACTTGAGTATTAAAGATTTTTATCGTGGGGCAAAGTTCACGTCTTAGAGCAAAAGTAACATGTATGCACTTGCTGGCATTTACTGATATTCTCCATTTTGTCAGCCAATTTTCGAGAAGATATACATGGTATTGTAGTTTTTCCGACGCAATCAGAGGATCCTTGTGTATGCTAATGAAAGCAGTATCATCAGCAAACGTTGAGGTTAGAGTTTCATTGGTTGTGGGCATATCGGCAGTAAATAACACGTACAGAATTGGTCCTAAGATACTACCCTGTGGGACGCCAGCCAATATTTTTCTCGAATTTGAAAGTATGTCTTTCGATTTAACAACAAACGTACGATTTGACAAATAACTACAAAAAAGTTTATGAGTGTTTTTAGGTAGAGTTTCACAAATTTTGTATAGAATTCCAAGATGCCAGACTCTGTCAAACGCTTGGGAAATGTCTATAAATAGCGCCGAGCAGTACTCCTTCCTTTCGAATGCCATTCTAATGTTTGTGACTATGCGGTGCACTTGCTCAATAGTACTGTGGTTCTTACGGAAGCCGAATTGGTGGTCGGGGATAATACTGCTATTTGTAATATGGGGAGTTAACTTCCTTAGTAAAGTTGTTTCGAACAGCTTTGAGAGTATAGATAGGAGACTGATGGGTCTATACGATTTTACCTGCGTTGGATCTTTTCCAGGTTTCGGAATCATTACTATTTCAGATTCTTTCCATACAGACGGGAAGTACCCTACTCGAAGAATGCTGTTAAATATAAATAACAATAATTTAACGGCCGGTGTTGGTAATTTCTTGAGCATGTTTGGAGTAATTCTATCTTTACCCGGGGATTTTTTTAGTTTTATCGAGGCTATAGAACTTTCGATTTCTTTTAGAGAAAATCGTATTGGATTCGGAACAATGTCGTCAATTAAAGGTTGAACAACTGTCGATGGTCCGGGATTTGGGGTAAATACAGATTCAAGATGTTCGGCAAATGCGTTTACTTTTTCTTCTGTAGATCTTGCCCAAGTCCCATTTTCTAGGCGAATTGGAGATTCGTGGGCGATAGGTCTTCTCAAGTTTTTTGTGGCTTTCCATAAGCTGTAGTCAGTTCTCTCTGTGGGATCCAGGTTATTTAGGAATATTTTTAGGTTTCGCTCTTCATTTAATCTGAGTGCTTGTTGTAAGAGTTTTTCACATTCTTTTAGTTTTTCCCGAAACCTAGGTGATCGGTGCTTCTGCCATTCTCTTCTGGCCTTCCTTTTATCAGACACGAGTTTTCGAATGGTCGATGGATTATGGGAATTATTTTCTAGTTTTGAAAATTTAGTGGGAGTGGCAACATTGACAGCGGTGTTGACTATCGAAGTAAATATTTTAACTGCATTGTCAATTTCTTCTCCGGACTTTAGAGGAGTGTTAGAATTCACATGTGTACTGACATATTTTTTGTACTTCATCCAGTTTGTATATTTATTTGGTAGATAATCCGGGGAAGTTGCGAGTTGAACATCATTTAATGTTATTATAGTTGGGGAATGGTCTGACGACAAGTCAAACGAGGGTACCACGGACATTTGTTCCCTCTTAATATTCTTTGTTACCGCAAAGTCAATTAAGTCAGGACGTTTTTGCAGGTCTGAAGGCCAGTAAGTAGGCTGGCCAGTAGATAACACGTCCAGTTTAGCGGACGAAATGGAGTTTAAAAGCTGTCTACCTCTGGGTGTAATAAGTCTAGATCCCCAGAAGGTGTGTTTGGCATTATAATCTCCAGCTGCAATGAATCTACTACCAAGAGATGAGAAAAAGTGTGCGAATTCATCTTTGCTTATACTATGTCTCGGAGGACAATATATTGCAGATATAGCTGTATTCGTTGAAGATAGTGCAACTGTTGTAGCTTGTAGGTGGTCAAACTTATATTCTGGCATGGGGTAATGCTGAATTTTATTAGAAATTATCACCGCGGTGCCACCGCAAGCTCTCCCACTAGGGTGTTTAGTGTCGTATGTACTGTAACCGTTTATTCTAAAACAGTTTCTAGAAGTGAAATGAGTTTCAGATACCAGTAAAATGTGTATGTTGAGTGAGTGAATAAAGTTTTCGACCTCGTGTTTATGTTGGCTTAAGCCGTTTGCGTTCCAAAACAGATTCGAATTTTATCTATTTTTGTTTTAAAACTATTTGCATAATCATAGATTGATTTCTCACAATATCTTGCATCATGCTTTGCATACTTGTCATAAAAGAATTCATGGTGACGATTAGTTTTTCAATAGATGATTCTATATTTGAATTTTTATAGTTAGGTGAGTCATTTCTCAAAGTATCAGAATATAAGTATTGCATATTCTGTGAGGGGAGATTGTAATTAGGAGCGGTGGTTTCATTCCTCTTGTTTAGCTCGGGGAACTCAGCTGTTTTGATATTAAATTGTGGATTTTCCCGTACCCGGTAGCTTGTAGGCTTTTTTGTGGCTAAGCTAGATTTTGTTAAGTGGATATATACAGGACATCCTCTGTAGTTTGCAGTATGATTTCCACCGCAATTGCTGCACTTTTTGACGCTTGGGTCAGTTTTGGGATGTGGACATTCCGATGATTTGTGGAGGTCACCACAAGTAACACAAACCGATAGCAATTTACAGTACGTTTTGGTATGCCCATACTCTTGGCAGTTTGTACATTGAGGTTGGCCTTTTCTTTTTTGAGGTTCTTCAATTTTCACACCGCGATTACAAAGAAGCCTAAGGCTATAAATTGGATGAAATTGTCCCTTTTTCTTTAGTTGCGAAGATTCGTATGTTAGTTCTACTTTAAACATAGGTTGCGGAATTTTATCTTTATTGAAAATGTTGATGATAGACTTTGTTTCGAATCCTTCTGCTGCGAGAGCATCTTTTATGTCCTCTATGGGTGTAGAACTATGAAGGCCTTTAATGACGACGACTAGTCCTTTTGAGCTCTTAATCTGATAGGTGTAATAATTCTTCTTCTCAGAATCCAGAGCACGAACTAGGTCCTTATAATGCGACTCAGTATAGGTTTGTATTTTCGTCTCTTGGAGATTTCCTCTCTTAAGAGATACCACGTGAAAATTAGGTTTACCCAATATTTGGGAGAGTTTGTTCACAAGATTGTTTGTGGTTTCTTCGCGAAGATATAGTGGGGGAGGTTTTTGGGATCTAACCGGTTGTATCATTTCATCAGTCTCGTTATTCGAGCCGAGAATTGAGAATCTGTTGTTGCGGTCATTGTTTATAGACTTTAGGGTTTTAGCTTTTGGTTCCTTGGTTGGAGTTCTAGAACTAGCCTTACGCTTTGTTACTAAGACATATCGGTCCATGCCTGGAGGAACTATGTTTTGCTTCTTGTTTTTTTCAAGAGACGCATGCTTACTTGAAGCGATAGTTTCTTGATGTACAATCGCATCGTGTGATAGCACCTTTATAGAATTTATTTTGGGCGTGTTTACATTGTTTTGTTTATATGACATTTCTGTTGTTTCGTTGGGAGTAGTCTCACCTGGCAAGTTTTTGTCATGAAAAACTCTCGGCGATGCCGATTTAGAACGGCTTTGGGGTTTAGCTGTAAGATACCAGCTTTCGTGGCGTTTTGGCGCGGTCGATCTGAAATCTGTCGACGTCAACTTAAGGTATACGTTTTGCCCGTTCTCACTTACATTTCTCTCTTCCGTATGAGAGAGTGACATACACTTGTTGTTGTTAACACTATAACAAACCGATTTATGTGCTTGGGGAAAAAGAGGATAAAGTAGAAAAAAAAACTATTTTGCAAAAATTCTTAATAAAAAGGATTTTTTAGCAGGTTTTTTTTTAGATTATATTTCCTGAGATTATTTAATAGCGTACTGTTTGCTTTTATATTATTTATTTTGCTTTGCTTGTGAAAAAAAAACACCTTTCATTAGCAACGAAAAATAAAACGCGTCCGTACTTACAGTGAATTTGAATATACCATTGTTTTTTGTCTGGGATATTCTCCCCAGAAGTTATATTAAAAATAACTTCTAAGACAAAAAACATTTTTTTACCCAAGTGACGAGATCGTATGCTCAATAGAAGAGGAACCAAGGAATTAAATAAAACTAAAATTCTTTTGGAAAATCTTCTAAATCTAACAACGGCACTTATAAACATTTACATCTTTATCCACTTGTTATACTTTTGTTCTACCTGAACGAAGTAGCATAACCATTGTAACACTCAGTCTACGCGGCGTTATGGTGGGGTTCCGCACTAGCTCAGGAGGGAGCGGTTATCCAGGTGGTTCTCAACCATGCCACAATCAACCCTAGGTAATGAACACTTAAAGAATTGAATCGAATAAACTCAAACTTAAAACTGAAAAACAAACATACACCAATGACACAGGAGCTTGATATTATTGCTCCCCCACTTTGCCCACCCATCCTTGAGCCTTTAGTCCATAAACACACAAAAATTTAAAAGGGCCCCAAAAAGCCACACACACTCTTCTTCTTCTAAATCTTACAACGGCACTTATAAACATTTGCATCTTTATCCACTTGTTATACTTTCGTTCTACCTGAACGAAGTAGCATAACCATTGTAACACTCAGTCTACGCGGCGTTATGGTGGGGTTCCGCACTAGCTCAGGAGGGAGCGGTTATCCAGGTGGTTCTCAACCATGCCACAATCAACCCTAGGTAATGAACACTTAAAGAATTGAATCGAATAAACACAAACAAAAAACTGAAAAAACAAACATACACAACATACACCAATGACATAGGAGCTTGATATTATTGCTCCCCCACTATGCCCATCCATTCTTGAGCCTTTAGTCCATATACACACAAAAAATTTAAAAGGGCCCCAAAAAGCCACACACACTCTTCTTCTTCTAAATCTTACAACGGCACTTATAAACATTTACATCTTTATCCACTTGTTATACTTTCGTTCTACCTGAACGAAGTAGCATTACCATTGTAACACTCAGTCTACGCGGCGTTATGGTGGGGTTCCGCACTAGCTCAGGAGGGAGCGGTTATCCAGGTGGTTCTCAACCATGCCACAATCAACCCTAGGTAATGAACACTTAAAGAATTGAATCGAATAAACACAAACTTAAAACTGAAAAAACAAACATACACAACATACAACAATGACACAGGAGCTTGATATTATTGCTCCCCCACTATGCCCACCCATCCTTGAGCCTTTAGTCCATATACACACAAAAAAATTAAAAGGGCCCCAAAAAGCCACACACACTCTCTTACTTACAACGCCTCTCTCTCTCTCACACACACAACAAAATTTAGCACAACATATTATTCTTGAAACAATTAGACATTAAACTTATTTATTTTAAACATCATTGTTTTCTTAAAACTAATTTCGACATGAACACATAAGAATAAAACTGGACTTTTTATACCGGAACGAAAAAATTGTGAGTCAATACTCAGATTACTTTTTTTATTACACCGCTAGGAGCGCCAAATTTTGGTCAAAAAAACTACTCTAAATTCTGCCTAAAGGAGCTCGCTTAGACGAAAGTTTTGGGCATTCTAAATTCTTGTTCCAAAAAATATAGAAATGGTCTAGCTGTAAATTTTGAAAAAACCCTACACTCACTAAGGAAAAATTACCTGGGCATTAAATATCCTCACAATTATTTCTTAAGTACTATTTATCTAACTACAAACAATACATTTATCTTATATACTAAACTATACAATAACAAAAAATATTTTATATAGTTTTTTTTTTTTCTTTCTTTTGGTTAAATGCCGATAATCATTAATCGACGAATTTCATATTTTCTATTTTAATAGTTCATCTTTGACAAGGAAAAGGAACTTAATATGACTCTTTTAGCGGGATTTGGCTTTCATTCTTTTCTCCAGAGGAGAAAATCTCAAGCCCCGGCCGAAGGCCGGCTTTTTACAAAAAGTGTCAAATTTAGAAAACTTTGGTTCGCGTTAGCCGGTGTAGGACATACCCAGAGGAGAAAATCTCAAGCCCCGGTCAAAGGCCGGCTACTTACAAAAGGTATCCAATTTAGAAAACTTTGGTTCCGGTGTGGGACATACCCAGAGGAGAAAATCTCAAGCCCCGGCCGAAGGCTGACGACTGCTACGCGACATAAACCATTTTTTTTATTGAAAACAACATTTTAATGAACTGGTTAGAATCGGGTTATGCGGATGGAAAGACCCCATCTCTGGACCCGGAAACGGTATTAGTACAAATTGTAACATTTTGGAAAGGTAAGAGTGTCAGCTATAATTTGGAAACAATTTTGTTGACCCTCATAATGGGCCCTTTTTTTGACTTTTTGGGGGTTTCATAAAAAATCCGGGTCCAAAAAATCGATATTTTGACTATAACTTACGAACCATGACAAATTCATGTGACCACTTGATGGATAGGTATTTCCATAATCTTTCAATCGATACCCATATTGTCTATATCGGGTAAGTGGATCCGGGTCCATGCGGGATCTTGACTAGAGTTGTTCCAAAATTAGGAGTAGTATGTAAAATGACAATTTTGACATAAACATTGAAATGTACATGGATAATAAAACTGACAGCACATATATAAAAAATATTCCCTCTGGCAGAGCCCTAATTTAGAACGTGTATATTCACGTGAGTGATTTTTTTCATGGTGGCGTTTTTTTCGCTCTTCCCGGCGTCTTTTAATTTCACTATCATGACGTTGTGATATTTCATGATTCTGCTTATTACCATATTTATCTTTCCTGCAATCTGGTCCGCCCTTCTTTAAATATTCCTCATTTCTTTTTCTATCTACAAGAGGTTCATATCCATATTCTGCCCTTTTCTTACGTTTAATATCTCGTTGATTGTCCGCGTCTACCCATTGAGATTGTTTAACCATCTTAATCCGTTTTGTTCTTGACTTCGATGTAACCCTTTTCTTCCGTTTTTCATTCTCATTTTGGTCCGAGGCCGAACTGTTTAAAGATTTTGATTCACTGATTCTACTTTCAGAGGAAGAAATGTCCTTTTCTGTCATTCGCTTCTTAGTATTTTTGTTTGGGGCTTTTTTATTTTTACTTAATTTTTTTTTTGTTTTTTCCCTTTTATTCGAAGGATTTTTCTTTTTGGTCATCTTCTTATTTTTGCCTTTATGTTTTTCCTTACTTTCTGAATCATTTGAAGATTCCGACGACGAAAAAGGCGATGGTGCAAACAATTCCGAAGATAAACTATCTGAAGATATTGATTCGTTGCTGCTACTTTCGCTTTTCAAAAATTATCTTTTGAAGAAGAGTTGTCTTTGTCAGTCCTTCGCTTTATAGTTTTATTCTTAGCGGCTATTTTATTTTTACCTACAATTTTTTTAGTTTTTTCCTTTTTTTTCGAAGAATTTTTCTTCTTGGTCATTTTCTTATTTTTGCCTTTATGTTTTTTCTTATTTTCTGAATCACTTGAAGAATCGTCGTCGGATGGTGCAGACAATTCCGATGATAAAGAACTTGATGATGAGGACGAGGGTGCAGATTTCGGAGCAATCTTTAGGAGTTGACACAATTCATTAGTTATTCCGCCCAAACCAATGGATGTGAAAAAGTTAATGGAGAAGCGTATATTTCGGGGATTATCTTTGGGGAATAGTCCCGCCAAAGTTCCAGCTAAAACTTCAGTCTTAAGTTTTTTATTAAAGTGATCCAGACCCATGTATTCGACCAATTCTTGAAAGAAAATTTTTATAAAAATACAACGTGATGTTATTGCGTCACCTTCAGTTAGCTTTATGCAGTCTAAAACATCCCAACTAATTGCATCGGTAAACAACAAATGAGCAAAGAATTTGCTTATATTCCGCAAACGATTTGTATCTAAACAATGCGTAGTCTGACAGATATCCTTGAAGATTTCTTTGAATGGTTCTATATAAGACTTGTTAATTTTACAAAATCGGTGGGCTAAAAGGCCATAGAACTTCGCATAGGTTCTTTGTTCAGCGCAGCAATCTAACAATATTTGGCAAAACTCATTTTCTTGACAAGTTTCCAATTGCATTTTCATTAATTTTTGGGCACATTCCTCATAATCGAATCTGGAATTTAAGGTAAGATATATTGTTCTTCTTAACGCAATCAGATTCGGTTTCGTTTCATCAATAATGCCACCACTCGTGTATTTATCATTAACCTCATTTTTGCCCTTATCACAGTCAGATAATGCAGTTTCGGAATTACTACCCGAACCGAAGGAGCCATCCGAATCTGAAGCATGGCTACCCAAAATATTCTTACTAAGTGCTTTATATTTCTCTTCATTGGTCTCGTACTGATCGTCGAATTTAAATTCGTCTAAAAATTAATAAATTTAATGACAAAAAAATAATTTATTAATTTCTATTAACTTACTCAATATATCTTTCGGGTATGTGACATCTTCCAACAATAGCAAATGAGTGAATTGAGCATATTCTTCTACCAATTCTAAGGACTCAATAATCGATTGATGGTCTTTAAAGCCATCTCTGCGTACTTGAAATAAAACTTCAATCATATATTGTACACGTTTATCCAACTTGCCTTGATGCAAGATATTTTTAAGCAATTCAAAAATGCCTCCAACCCTATCCGATGATACCTCTGTCAATTTCATACCACATTCCTTAAGAAATGTTATGGCCACTTCAACATTATCATCAGTCGGCGATTCAATTAAGAGTGTTAGAATTTCTAGGGCCAAAATTTCATGTGCCACCCTTTGATTAACCAAGTGAGCAATAAAATGTGAAGAAGACAAACAAATGGTCTTATCGTTACACCCAAATGCTCGTTTGAACTGTATGACCAAACGTTTCAACAGCAATTCCCCAATATTGGGAAATTTTGAATTAATAATGGCCACCGTGGCGGCATAAACATGGGTAAATGTTGGCGATGCAGCCTGAGCTTGTATTATGGAATGGCAAAGCACGTCTCTACCACGTACTATATTTTCCTTAAGCAATTTTCGGGCGATAACTGCAACACAATCCACATTGACTTTATTGATGTAACCATGTATGTATTTCTCAAGAGCTTCCCGAGCTATACTTTGATATGCAGCCGATGATTTGTCCGTAATTTCTGCCTGCATCATACGCAATTTTTCGGGTGGTAAATTCAATTCGTCTCTTCTTTCATCTTCATCTCTTCTTTTGATTGGCTCAGATCGGCGTAACGGTAGCCTTTCATAATCTGACGACATCGAACGATATCCTTCATGTCGTCTATCTTGTGAACGAATTCGTCGTGGATATCTTGATGGAAGCTTCTTTTCCGGCCTTCGAAATCGACTGTGAGATCTAGTTCGGCTTCTGCTAGATCCCATTCTTTGTCTTAGTCGATTGTCCTTGTCCCTGGAGACAGACCTTTTGGTCGTAGAAGAATCTCGGCCGTGTCCAAAGGAAGTTCTTCGATTTCTTAATACACTTTTTTTATATCTTGATAGACTTTTTTCTACTGAATGAGTTCGGCTAATGTGTCCAGAATAACTTAAACGTGTGTTTCCAGAACGGCTTCTATAGGCGGATAGTTGTTTTTCTTTGGAGAGAGCTCGCACAAAAGATTTTTTTTTAGTCTTCTCTGTATTTTTACATTCTTCTGTCTTTGTCATTAGTTCTACTGGGTGTTCATTCGAATCCGTTGTGTAATTATGGTTAGTATTTATGCTATCTTCCTTGGGAAGCATTTCATTCGATCCATCCTCTCTAGGAAATCTTTCAACTAATTTTTCTTCTGCTTCCTTGCATATAGTATATGATAGATCACGTACTACTTCCAATACGACTTCCCTTCGCTCTGATAGAACTTTTGATTTGTTATTTTTGAAATATGTTTTGGAAGACACTTCTCCATCACTTGATCCACTTGTGGACCCCGACATGTAATCAGAAGACGACGAAGACTCAGAACTAGGTTTATTTTTCGGTTTTCGAGATTCGTCGTCGGTGGCGTTCATATTTTTGTTGTTGTCAGGCTCTGTTTATTGTTTATTCGAGAGTCGTTATTGAAATCCTATGAGATTTATATTTATCTTATGATAAACTGAGGGTGTTACGTCCAGATTAACCGCCAGGTTATTTTCTTAATATATCGATAAAAGGTTTCGATTCTAAGAAATATATTGCCATTAAGAGAACAAGGGTAGGTAACCCGTCTTTTAATACCCAAAGTTCTGAAACGAGGGAAGTTAGAAACGTTGCTACCTATCGATAGCATCGATTTTCCCTAATTATAGGGTGGCTCAGAACATCGTAATTTTCCATTTAATCTCTTTTTCAAATGTTCGACAGAAACAGTAATGCAACATACTTTTAAACAATATTTATTTATAAAAAAAATTATGAATGAAAATGTTAAAAAAAAAAAAAAAATTTGCTTGCTAATGAATTGTCATACTTCATACATAATATAGCAAACGGAAATTGTTGGACTAACAATAAAATTTTGACTTCTCAAAGAAACATTAAACGGCACCGGGACACCTCTAACAGAAGCTATATGCTAAATGATATTTTAAGACCTAACGATTATTTTAGCACATAACATTCTCCAAATCAGTTTTTGGTAGAATAAATTTAGGGCTGTTTGCCTTGGGCTTGGTTTGTGTGTATTTTTTCTGCGCAAGAAAATTTGGATATACCTAAAAAAATTATTTAAAGCTAATCGTATATACCTAAAACATGTTTTTGTATAAAACATGTCGATTAAGAGCAGTTACAATTTTTTAAACACAATTGATCGAAATCCGTTCTTAAAATTATTAAAAATCGTGTTTTTCTGAGGGCAAATTTTTGAGTTGATAAACTTGTTGTTGCAAAATGGTAAGCCTGACCCTGTATTGTTGTTTTTATAAAAACAACGTTTTTTTATAAGTGGAGAACGATGATAATATTTACCAGGGGTAAGGTAGGGAATACCTAGGTTTCGAAAAGAGCCACCAATCCTCATCAGTTCCATTGTTTTTTGTCTGGGATATTCTCCCCAGAAGTTATATTAAAAATAACTTCTAAGACAAAAAACATTTTTTTACCCAAGTGACGAGATCGTATGCTCAATAGAAGAGGAACCAAGGAATTAAATAAAACTAAAATTCTTTTGGAAAATCTTCTAAATCTAACAACGGCACTTATAAACATTTACATCTTTATCCACTTGTTATACTTTTGTTCTACCTGAACGAAGTAGCATAACCATTGTAACACTCAGTCTACGCGGCGTTATGGTGGGGTTCCGCACTAGCTCAGGAGGGAGCGGTTATCCAGGTGGTTCTCAACCATGCCACAATCAACCCTAGGTAATGAACACTTAAAGAATTGAATCGAATAAACTCAAACTTAAAACTGAAAAACAAACATACACCAATGACACAGGAGCTTGATATTATTGCTCCCCCACTTTGCCCACCCATCCTTGAGCCTTTAGTCCATAAACACACAAAAATTTAAAAGGGCCCCAAAAAGCCACACACACTCTTCTTCTTCTAAATCTTACAACGGCACTTATAAACATTTGCATCTTTATCCACTTGTTATACTTTCGTTCTACCTGAACGAAGTAGCATAACCATTGTAACACTCAGTCTACGCGGCGTTATGGTGGGGTTCCGCACTAGCTCAGGAGGGAGCGGTTATCCAGGTGGTTCTCAACCATGCCACAATCAACCCTAGGTAATGAACACTTAAAGAATTGAATCGAATAAACACAAACAAAAAACTGAAAAAACAAACATACACAACATACACCAATGACATAGGAGCTTGATATTATTGCTCCCCCACTATGCCCATCCATTCTTGAGCCTTTAGTCCATATACACACAAAAAATTTAAAAGGGCCCCAAAAAGCCACACACACTCTTCTTCTTCTAAATCTTACAACGGCACTTATAAACATTTACATCTTTATCCACTTGTTATACTTTCGTTCTACCTGAACGAAGTAGCATTACCATTGTAACACTCAGTCTACGCGGCGTTATGGTGGGGTTCCGCACTAGCTCAGGAGGGAGCGGTTATCCAGGTGGTTCTCAACCATGCCACAATCAACCCTAGGTAATGAACACTTAAAGAATTGAATCGAATAAACACAAACTTAAAACTGAAAAAACAAACATACACAACATACAACAATGACACAGGAGCTTGATATTATTGCTCCCCCACTATGCCCACCCATCCTTGAGCCTTTAGTCCATATACACACAAAAAATTTAAAAGGGCCCCAAAAAGCCACACACACTCTCTTACTTACAACGCCTCTCTCTCTCTCACACACACAACAAAATTTAGCACAACATATTATTCTTGAAACAATTAGACATTAAACTTATTTATTTTAAACATCATTGTTTTCTTAAAACTAATTTCGACATGAACACATAAGAATAAAACTGGACTTTTTATACCGGAACGAAAAAATTGTGAGTCAATACTCAGATTACTTTTTTTATTACACCGCTAGGAGCGCCAAATTTTGGTCAAAAAAACTACTCTAAATTCTGCCTAAAGGAGCTCGCTTAGACGAAAGTTTTGGGCATTCTAAATTCTTGTTCCAAAAAATATAGAAATGGTCTAGCTGTAAATTTTGAAAAAACCCTACACTCACTAAGGAAAAATTACCTGGGCATTAAATATCCTCACAATTATTTCTTAAGTACTATTTATCTAACTACAAACAATACATTTATCTTATATACTAAACTATACAATAACAAAAAATATTTTATATAGTTTTTTTTTTTTCTTTCTTTTGGTTAAATGCCGATAATCATTAATCGACGAATTTCATATTTTCTATTTTAATAGTTCATCTTTGACAAGGAAAAGGAACTTAATATGACTCTTTTAGCGGGATTTGGCTTTCATTCTTTTCTCCAGAGGAGAAAATCTCAAGCCCCGGCCGAAGGCCGGCTTTTTACAAAAAGTGTCAAATTTAGAAAACTTTGGTTCGCGTTAGCCGGTTTAGGACATACCCAGAGGAGAAAATCTCAAGCCCCGGTCAAAGGCCGGCTACTTACAAAAGGTATCCAATTTAGAAAACTTGGTTCCGGTGTGGGACATACCCAGATGAGAAAATCTCAAGCCCCGGCCGAAGGCTGACGACTGCTACGCGACATAAACCATTTTTTTTATTGAAAACAACATTTTAATGAACTGTTTAGAATCGGGTTATGCGGATGGAAAGACCCCATCTCTGGACCCGGAAACGGTATTAGTACAAATTGTAACATTTTGGAAAGGTAAGAGTGTCAGCTATAATTTGGAAACAATTTTGTTGACCCTCATAATGGGCCCTTTTTTTGACTTTTTGGGGGTTTCATAAAAAATCCGGGTCCAAAAATCGATATTTTGACTATAACTTACGAACCATGACAAATTCATGTGACCACTTGATGGATAGGTATTTCCATAATCTTTCAATCGATACCCATATTGTCTATATCGGGTAAGTGGATCCGGGTCCATGCGGGATCTTGACTAGAGTTGTTCCAAAATTAGGAGTAGTATGTAAATGACAATTTTGACATAAACATTGAAATGTACATGGATAATAAAACTGACAGCACATATATAAAAAATATTCCCTCTGGCAGAGCCCTAATTTAGAACGTGTATATTCACGTGAGTGATTTTTTTCATGGTGGCGTTTTTTTTCGCTCTTCCCGGCGTCTTTTAATTTCACTATCATGACGTTGTGATATTTCATGATTCTGCTTATTACCATATTTATCTTTCCTGCAATCTGGTCCGCCCTTCTTTAAATATTCCTCATTTCTTTTTCTATCTACAAGAGGTTCATATCCATATTCTGCCCTTTTCTTACGTTTAATATCTCGTTGATTGTCCGCGTCTACCCATTGAGATTGTTTAACCATCTTAATCCGTTTTGTTCTTGACTTCGATGTAACCCTTTTCTTCCGTTTTTCATTCTCATTTTGGTCCGAGGCCGAACTGTTTAAAGATTTTGATTCACTGATTCTACTTTCAGAGGAAGAAATGTCCTTTTCTGTCATTCGCTTCTTAGTATTTTTGTTTGGGGCTTTTTTATTTTTACTTAATTTTTTTTTGTTTTTTCCCTTTTATTCGAAGGATTTTTCTTTTTGGTCATCTTCTTATTTTTGCCTTTATGTTTTTCCTTACTTTCTGAATCATTTGAAGATTCCGACGACGAAAAAGGCGATGGTGCAAACAATTCCGAAGATAAACTATCTGAAGATATTGATTCGTTGCTGCTACTTTCGCTTTTCAAAAAATTATCTTTTGAAGAAGAGTTGTCTTTGTCAGTCCTTCGCTTTATAGTTTTATTCTTAGCGGCTATTTTATTTTTACCTACAAATTTTTTAGTTTTTTCCTTTTTTTTTCGAAGAATTTTTCTTCTTGGTCATTTTCTTATTTTTGCCTTTATGTTTTTTCTTATTTTCTGAATCACTTGAAGAATCGTCGTCGGATGGTGCAGACAATTCCGATGATAAAGAACTTGATGATGAGGACGAGGGTGCAGATTTCGGAGCAATCTTTAGGAGTTGACACAATTCATTAGTTATTCCGCCCAAACCAATGGATGTGAAAAAGTTAATGGAGAAGCGTATATTTCGGGGATTATCTTTGGGGAATAGTCCCGCCAAAGTTCCAGCTAAAACTTCAGTCTTAAGTTTTTTATTAAAGTGATCCAGACCCATGTATTCGACCAATTCTTGAAAGAAAATTTTTATAAAAATACAACGTGATGTTATTGCGTCACCTTCAGTTAGCTTTATGCAGTCTAAAACATCCCAACTAATTGCATCGGTAAACAACAAATGAGCAAAGAATTTGCTTATATTCCGCAAACGATTTGTATCTAAACAATGCGTAGTCTGACAGATATCCTTGAAGATTTCTTTGAATGGTTCTATATAAGACTTGTTAATTTTACAAAATCGGTGGGCTAAAAGGCCATAGAACTTCGCATAGGTTCTTTGTTCAGCGCAGCAATCTAACAATATTTGGCAAAACTCATTTTCTTGACAAGTTTCCAATTGCATTTTCATTAATTTTTGGGCACATTCCTCATAATCGAAACTGGAATTTAAGGTAAGATATATTGTTCTTCTTAACGCAATCAGATTCGGTTTCGTTTCATCAATAATGCCACCACTCGTGTATTTATCATTAACCTCATTTTTGCCCTTATCACAGTCAGATAATGCAGTTTCGGAATTACTACCCGAACCGAAGGAGCCATCCGAATCTGAAGCATGGCTACCCAAAATATTCTTACTAAGTGCTTTATATTTCTCTTCATTGGTCTCGTACTGATCGTCGAATTTAAATTCGTCTAAAAATTAATAAATTTAATGACAAAAAAATAATTTATTAATTTCTATTAACTTACTCAATATATCTTTCGGGTATGTGACATCTTCCAACAATAGCAAATGAGTGAATTGAGCATATTCTTCTACCAATTCTAAGGACTCAATAATCGATTGATGGTCTTTAAAGCCATCTCTGCGTACTTGAAATAAAACTTCAATCATATATTGTACACGTTTATCCAACTTGCCTTGATGCAAGATATTTTTAAGCAATTCAAAAATGCCTCCAACCCTATCCGATGATACCTCTGTCAATTTCATACCACATTCCTTAAGAAATGTTATGGCCACTTCAACATTATCATCAGTCGGCGATTCAATTAAGAGTGTTAGAATTTCTAGGGCCAAAATTTCATGTGCCACCCTTTGATTAACCAAGTGAGCAATAAAATGTGAAGAAGACAAACAATGGTCTTATCGTTACACCCAAATGCTCGTTTGAACTGTATGACCAAACGTTTCAACAGCAATTTCCCAATATTGGGAAATTTTGAATTAATAATGGCCACCATGGCGGCATAAACATGGGTAAATGTTGGCGATGCAGCTTGAGCTTGTATTATGGAATGGCAAAGCACGTCTCTACCACGTACTATATTTTCCTTAAGCAATTTTCGGGCGATAACTGCAACACAATCCACATTGACTTTATTGATGTAACCATGTATGTATTTCTCAAGAGCTTCCCGAGCTATACTTTGATATGCAGCCGATGATTTGTCCGTAATTTCTGCCTGCATCATACGCAATTTTTCGGGTGGTAAATTCAATTCGTCTCTTCTTTCATCTTCATCTCTTCTTTTGATTGGCTCAGATCGGCGTAACGGTAGCCTTTCATAATCTGACGACATCGAACGATATCCTTCATGTCGTCTATCTTGTGAACGAATTCGTCGTGGATATCTTGATGGAAGCTTCTTTTCCGGCCTTCGAAATCGACTGTGAGATCTAGTTCGGCTTCTGCTAGATCCCATTCTTTGTCTTAGTCGATTGTCCTTGTCCCTGGAGACAGACCTTTTGGTCGTAGAAGAATCTCGGCCGTGTCCAAAGGAAGTTCTTCGATTTCTTAATACACTTTTTTTATATCTTGATAGACTTTTTTCTACTGAATGAGTTCGGCTAATGTGTCCAGAATAACTTAAACGTGTGTTTCCAGAAAGGCTTCTATAGGCGGATAGTTGTTTTTCTTTGGAGAGAGCTCGCACAAAAGATTTTTTTTTAGTCTTCTCTGTATTTTTACATTCTTCTGTCTTTGTCATTAGTTCTACTGGGTGTTCATTCGAATCCGTTGTGTAATTATGGTTAGTATTTATGCTATCTTCCTTGGGAAGAATTTCATTCGATCCATCCTCTCTAGGAAATCTTTCAACTAATTTTTCTTCTGCTTCCTTGCATATAGTATATGATAGATCACGTACTACTTCCAATACGACTTCCCTTTGCTCTGATAGAACTTTTGATTTGTTATTTTTGAAATATGTTTTGGAAGACACTTCTCCATCACTTGATCCACTTGTGGACCCCGACATGTAATCAGAAGACGACGAAGACTCAGAACTAGGTTTATTTTTCGGTTTTCGAGATTCGGCGTCGGTGGCGTTCATATTTTTGTTGTTGTCAGGCTCTGTTTATTGTTTATTCGAGAGTCGTTATTGAAATCCTATGAGATTTATATTTATCTTATGATAAACTGAGGGTGTTACGTCCAGATTAACCGCCAGGTTATTTTCTTAATATATCGACAAAAGGTTTCGATTCTAAGAAATATATTGCCATTAAGAGAACAAGGGTAGGTAATCCGTCTTTTAATACCCAAAGTTCTGAAACGAGGGAAGTTAGAAACGTTGCTACCTATCGATAGCATCGATTTTCCCTAATTATAGGGTGGCTCAGAACATCGTAATTTTCCATTTAATCTCTTTTTCAAACGTTCGACAGAAACAGTAATGCAACATACTTTTAAACAATATTTATTTATAAAAAAAAATATGAATGAAAATGTTCAAAAAAAAAAAAAAAAAAAAAAAAAAAATGTTGCTTGCTAATGAATTGTCATACTTTATACATAATATAGCAAACGGAAATTGTTGGACTAACAATAAAATTTTGACTTCTCAAAGAAACATTAAACGGCACCGGGACACCTCTAACAGAAGCTATATGATAAATGGTATTTTAAGACCTAACGATTATTTTAGCACATAACATTCTCCAAATCAGTTTTTGGTAGAATAAATTTAGGGCTGTTTGCCTTGGGCTTGGTTTGTGTGTATTTTTTCTGCGCAAGAAAATTTTGATATACCTAAAAAAATTATTTAAAGCTAATCGTATATACCTAAAACAATTTTTTGTATAAAGCATGTCGATTAAGCGCAGTTACAATTTTTTAAACACAATTGATCGAAATCCGTTCTTAAAATTATTAAAAATCGTGTTTTTCTGAGGGCAAATTTTGAGTTGATAAACTTGTTGTTGCAAAATGGTAAGCCTGACCCTGTATTGTTGTTTTTATAAAAACAACGTTTTTTATTAGTGGAGAACGATGATAATATTTACCAGGGGTAAGGTAGGGAATACCTAGGTTTCGAAAGGAGCCACCAATCCTCATCAGTTCCCTTGTTTTTTGTCTGGGATATTCTCCCCAGAAGTTATATTAAAAATAACTTCTAAGACAAAAAACATTTTTTTACCCAAGTGACGAGATCGTATGCTCAATAGAAGAGGAACCAAGGAATTAAATAAAACTAAAATTCTTTTGGAAAATCTTCTAAATCTAACAACGGCACTTATAAACATTTACATCTTTATCCACTTGTTATACTTTCGTTCTACCTGAACGAAGTAGCATAACCATTGTAACACTCAGTCTACGCGGCGTTATGGTGGGGTTCCGCACTAGCTCAGGAGGGAGCGGTTATCCAGGTGGTTCTCAACCATGCCACAATCAACCCTAGGTAATGAACACTTAAAGAATTGAATCGAATAAACTCAAACTTAAAACTGAAAAACAAACATACACCAATGACACAGGAGCTTGATATTATTGCTCCCCCACTTTGCCCACCCATCCTTGAGCCTTTAGTCCATATACACACAAAAATTTAAAAGGGCCCCAAAAAGCCACACACTTTTCTTCTTCTTCTAAATCTTACAACGGCACTTATAAACATTTACATCTTTATCCACTTGTTATACTTTCGTTCTACCTGAACGAAGTAGCATTACCATTGTAACACTCAGTCTACGCGGCGTTATGGTGGGGTTCCGCACTAGCTCAGGAGGGAGCGGTTATCCAGGTGGTTCTCAACCATGCCACAATCAACCCTAGGTAATGAACACTTAAAGAATTGAATCGAATAAACACAAACTTAAAACTGAAAAAACAAACATACACAACATACAACAATGACACAGGAGCTTGATATTATTGCTCCCCCACTATGCCCACCCATCCTTGAGCCTTTAGTCCATATACACACAAAAAATTTAAAAGGGCCCCAAAAAGCCACACACACTCTCTTACTTACAACGCCTCTCTCTCTCTCTCACAACAAAATTTAGCACAACATATTATTCTTGAAACAATTAGACATTAAACTTATTTATTTTAAACATCATTGTTCTCTTAAAACTAATTTCGACATGAACACATAAAAATAAAACTGGGCTTTTAATACCGGAACGAAAAAATTTGTGAGTCAATACTCAGATTACTTTTTTCATTACACCGCTAAGAGCGCCAAATTTTGGTCAATAAAACTACTCTAAAGTACTATTTATCTAACTACAAACAATACATTCATCTTATATACTAAACTATACAATAACAAAAAAAAAATTTAAATAGTTTTCTTTCTTTCTTTTGGTTAAATGCCGATAATCTTCGACAAGGAAAAGGAACTTAATATGACTCTTTTAGCGGGATTTAGCTTTCATTCTTTGGGCTTTGGTAAGTAAATTAATTTTTAAATTACATTAGCTGGACAACGGCATACTTATTCAACTTTTTTCTTCTTTTGCAGATTTTGATATATGTGGGATCTACTGTTATCTTCCCGGATCGGTACTGTCGCCTGTGCTAAATTTTTCCACTGGCCGTTTCCCAGCTGATTCCAGGTCTTCTAGCAGTTTCCAGGACCTTTTCTGTGCATGGAACTTCAGTGCCTCACTTGGCGATCTAACCAGTTCTTTAAAACTATGTTTTCAATAAAAAAGGTATATTTCGCGTAAGCATGAAATTCAGAAATCTTTGGTTCGCGTTAGCCGGTGTAGGATATAGCCAGAGGAGAAATCTCAAGCCCCGGCCGAAGACCGGCTTTTTACAAAAAGTGTCAAATTTAGAAAACTTTGGTTCGCGTTAGCCGGTGTAGGACATACACAGAGGAGAAAATCTCAAGCCCCGGTCAAAGGCCGGCTACTTACAAAAAGTGTCAAGTTTAGAAAACTTTAGTTCGCGTTAGCCGGTGTGGGACATACCCAGAGGAGAAAATCTCAAGCCCCGGTCAAAGGCCGGCTACTTACAAAAGGTATCCAATTTAGAAAACTTTGGTTCGCGTTAGCCGGTGTGGGACATACCCAGAGGAGAAAATCTCAAGCCCCGGCCGAAGGTCGGCTTTTTACAAAAAGTGTCAAATTTAGAAAACTTTGGTTCGCGTTAGCCGGTGTGGGCCATACCCAGAGGAGAAAATCTCAAGCCCCGGTCAAAGGCTGGCTACTTACAAAAGGTATCCAATTTAGAAAACTTTGGTTCGCGTTAGCCGGTGTGGGACATACCCAGAGGAGAAAATCTCAAGCCCCGGTCAAAGGCCGGCTACTTACAAAAGGTATCCAATTTAGAAACCTTTTGTTCGCGTTAGCCGGTGTCGGACATACCCAGAGGAGAAAATCTCAAGCCCCGGCCGAAGGCCGGCTATTTACAAAAAGTGCCAAATTTAGAAAACTTTTGTTATTCCGACGACTGCTACGCGACATAAACCACTTTTTTATTGAAAACATCATTTTAATGAACTGGTTAGAATCGGGTTATGCGGATGGAAAGACCCATATCTCTGGACCCGGAAACGGTATAAGCACAAATTGTAACATTTTGGAAAGGTAAGAGTGTCAGCTATAATTTGGAAACAATTTTGTTGACCCCCATAATGGGCCCTTTTTTTGACTTTTTGGGGGTTTCATAAAAAATCCGGGTCCAAAAAATCGATATTTTGACTATAACTTCCGAACCATGACAACTTCACGTAACCACTTGTTGCATAGGTATTTCCATAAGCTTTCAATCCATACCCATATTGTCTATATCGGGTAAGTGGATCCGGGTCCATGCGGGGTCTTGATCCCGGACTTTCGGGTCAAAAATCTGCGGTACTGGGTCCGTCCCCCAAGAAAAAAATAGTTTCCCGGGATTAGGGTAAAAATACCTATCTCTGGAAAAAAATTTCGAAAAAATCGAAGAGTTTTTACTAAACTAGAGTTGTTCCAAAATTAGGAGTAGAATGTAAAATGACAATTTTGACATAAACATTGAAATGTACATGGATAATAAAACTGACAGCACATATATAAAAAATATTCCCTCTGGCAGAGCCCTAATTTAGAACATGTATATTCACGTGAGTGATTTTTTTCATGGTGGCGTTTTTTTCGCTCTTCCCGGCGTCTATTAATTTCACCATCATGACGTTGTGATATTTCATGATTCTGTTTATTACCATATTTATCTTTCCTGCAATCTGGTCCGCCCTTCTTTAAATATTCCTCATTTCTTTTTCTATCTACAAGAGGTTCATATCCATATTCTGCCCTTTTCTTACGTTTAATATCTCGTTGATTGTCCGCGTCTACCCATTGAGATTGCTTAAACATCTTAATCCGTTTTGTTCTTGATTTCGATGTAACCCTTTTCTTCCGTTTTTCATTCTCATTTTGGTTCGAGGCCGAACTATTTAATGATTTTGATTCACTGATGCTACTTTCAGAAGAAGAAATGTCCTTTTCAGTCATTTTCTTCCTAGTATTTTTGTTTGGAGCCTTTTCATTTTTCTTAAATTTTTTTTGTTTTTCCCTTTTATTCGAAGGATTTTTCTTTTTGGTCATCTTCTTATTTATATTTATTTATTATATTTCCTTACTTTGTGAATCATTTGAAGATTCCGACGACGAATAAGACAATGGTGCGAACAATTCCGAAGATAAACTATCTGAAGATATTGATTTGTTGCTGCTACTTTCGCTTTTCAAAAAATTATCTTTTGAATAAGAGTTGTCTTTGTCAGTCCTTCGGTTTATAGTTTTATTCTTAGCGGCTATTTTATTTTTAGCTACAAATTTTTAGTTTTTTCCTTTTTTTTCGAAGAATTTTTCTTCTTGGTCATTTTCTTATTTTTGCCTTCATGTTTTTTCTTATTTTCTGAATCACTTGAAGAATCGTCGTCGGATGGCGCAGACAATTCCGATGATAAAGAACTTTATGATGAGGACGAGGGTTCAGATTTCGGAGCAATCTTTAGGAGTTGACATAATTCATTAGTTATTCCGCCCAAACCAATGGATGTGAAAAAGTTAATGGAGAAGCGTATATTTCGGGGATTATCTTTGGGGAATAGTCCCGCCAAAGTTCCAGCTAAAACTTTAGTCTTAAGTTTTTTATTAAAGTGATCCAGACCCATGTATTCGACCAATTCTTGAAAGAAAATTTTTATAAAAATACAACGTGATGTTATTGCGTCATCTTCAGTTAGCTTTATGCAGTCTAAAACATCCCAACTAATTGCATCGGTAAACAACAAATGTGCAAAGAATTTGCTTATATTCCGCAAACGATTTGTATCTAAACAATGCGTAGTCTGACAGATATCCTTGAAGATTTCTTTGAATGGTTCTATATAAGACTTGTTAATTTTACAAAATCGGTGGGATAAAAGGCCATAGAACTTCTCATAGGTTCTTTGTTCAGTGCAGCAATCAAACAATATTTGGCAAAACTCATTTTCTTGACAAGTTTTCAATTGCATTTTCATTAATTTTTGGGCACATTCCTCATTATCCAAACTGGAATTTAAGGTAAGATATATTGTTCTTCTTAACGCAATCAGATTTGGTTTCGTTTCATCAATAATATCACCACTCGTGTATTTATCATTAAACTCATTTTCGCCCTTATCACAGTCAGATAATGCAGTTTCGGAATTACTTAAATTCGTCTAAAAATTAATAAATTTAATGACAAAAAAAAAATAATTTATTAATTTCTATTAACTTTCTCAATATATCTTTCTGGTATGTACTTATTCAACTTTCTTTTGCATATTTTGATATAGGTGGGATCTACTGTAAGCTTCCTGGATCGGTACTGTCGCCTGTGTTACAATTTTTCACTGTCCGTTTCCCAGCTGTTTCCAGGTCTTCTGTCAGTTTCCAGGACCTTTTCTGTGCCTGGTACCTCGGTGCCTCACTTGGCGATTCAAAAAACGATTGTTGGGGATGCCCGTTCTTTTCTCGTTAAGTCGGATGGCATTGTCAAATTGTGGATTTATGCGCGGCGTTATTTCCCTAAATAAAACACACAAACTTAACACAACATATCCGACATAACGCCACTTACAAATCAACACTTACAGATTGTTTAGATTCACCACAAAAATAAAACAATAAAACACACGAATTGTAAATGCCAACTTTGTATTTCCTTATTTTATTTTTCTTCAAAAAAAAAAAAAAAAACATTTTAAAATTGGCTGAACTGTTTTTTCTGTTCCACACTACTTTTAAATAATGGCGCTTTTAGCCCTCCCTGTTCTTTAAACTTTCCCTTTTTTCGAGATTTTCCCACAATTTCCCTGACATTTATTATATACCTTTATCAGGTGTTCTACCTACCCACTTTTATCCCCAATTTTGTATTTTTGCCACACGTCTCTCGTGTTGTACAAAAAACAACATGAAACTTGGCATCACTTTTTCAAATTTCTCTTTTTTTCTCTTCTCTTTTTTCGGTTCTCTTTTTTGGCTGGCGTTCAGCACGTTCGGTGCATTAAATTGCACATTCTAAAAATGCAGACTAGGAATGAATGCAACAAAACTTCACCACTTTAGTAAAAAGAAAGTTGTGATGTGCGTGAATCCTTACATCCAGTCGTAGAGGGAATATAATATTGTGGAGCCAAGTAAGTTTTTTTCTTCTTTTACCACCACGTGACCAAAAAAAAAATTCTGATGTCTCATTTTTTCTTTCCGGATAAAGGTAAGAATTCCCCTTTGTAATAAATTTCCCACAGAAATATAATCAATTTCTATTCTTATTCCCATTCTTTTATCGCAGACGAATCAAAAAATTACCTGATTTATTTTCATTCTTGGGAGTGTCATGCGTAAGTATATGTGTGTGTGTGCAGGCAAGTTGCATCCATTGAAAAATTCTATTCACATGCATGAAGTAGTTGCAGACGTGTAAACGTACATGAGGTGGATATCGAATATTTTTATGCATTCACCGAGGAAAAAGGAGAATATTGGACGATGAAAATTAATCATTATTAATCGCAAAAAAAAAAAAATATTTGAAAATGATAAAATGAAAAAGAGGAGCAATACAAAGGGGATATGATTTTTATTATTCCCTTATTCATATTACCACATATATTGTTGCTGTAAATTCCTATCTCTTTTAAGATTATATGCAAACGTCTGTTACGCTTCTTAAATACTTTAACAACAATCAACTAAATCTTCGACAATTGTAATGTGAGAAATATCGGTTACAAGGAAATAATTTAATACTTTAAACCAATGTTGCAAATGGTTGTTAGGAAGAAATCTACAGCATTTTTCCATGAATATAAACTGACTTTTTGTGTTTAAGACAATCGGAGATGGTGGCTATTGTATTTTGACAGAAATTAAATGGAATAAATTTTTATTCTACCTTTGTTGTTCACAATGTGGGGAACTCCCACACCCTGAAGTCTCATTCAGCCGGGCTCTTTAGCTGTTATCCTTCCTTTAGACATACAATTTTAACTCATATATATTGTTTCCGATAGGTTTCACGATTTTGCACTTCACAAACTTCTTGCAAAATTTCGCATTTATATTATTCTTGAAATCTGAAAGAACGTGATTCCTTCTAAAAACTTCCTGGCTTGGACGAAAAGTTACATTTCGTGATCTACTATTGTACCTTTGGCACTGGACTCATAGGCTTGATGCATGTTTTTCTTAATGTTTTCTCTCATTATCTCTAATCTATCCGTTCTATTTAATTGTATAATTTGGTGGTCAGTAAATGATTTGAGTTTCTTGGCTAATCTATAATTGTTCCGTTGACACCTGTGGCGGAATGTACCGAAGTTCGGAGGGTATATTAACTTTGTCATTCCGTTTGTAACTCCTCGAAATACTCATGTCAGACCCAACAAAGTATATATATTCTTGATCAGCGTAAAATTCAAAGTCGATTTAGCGGTGTCCGTCTGTCTGCTGTAATCGCGCTATCTTTCGAATGAATTGAGATAGATGGCTAAAATTTTGCAAACATGTTCATTTTTCCAGTAGGCAGGATAAGTTCGTAAATGGGCCATGTAGGTCCACGTTTACATATAGCCCCCATATAACGGTACCTCCCGATATTCGGTATTTTGATGATTTTAGCGACATTATTCACTGGAATTGTTTCAAATTTGTTATTTGAAGTTCGAAATGGATGCTACACCCTAACACAGAAAATTGTCTGTGCAAGTCCACGTCTGCGTATAGCCTCTATATAACAGTACCTCCCGATATTCGGTATTTTGATGATTTTAGCGACATTATTCACCGGAATTTGGTATTTAAAGTACGAAATAGATGCTACACTCTAAAACAGAAAATTGTCTATGCAGGTATAGGTCTTCGTATAGGCCATATATATCAGTACCTTCCTATATACGATATTTTGATGATTTTAGCTACATTATTCACCGTTTATTTCAAGTATCGAATTTGAATTTCGTCATATAGACCCAAATATAACGGCTATATTTAGTATTTTTAAAATTTTAACAGAATTGTTTAAGGATTTTATATTTTGAAAATTTCCAAATTCGTTCCAAATGGTGGAGGGTATTCAAAGTTCGGCCCGGCCGAACTTACTGCATTTTAACATCTTGGATCTGGGATACTACATAAAATTTTTGATTACCATCGTTCTCCACTAATAAAAAACATTGTTTTTATAAAACCAACAATAAAAAGGGATAAAGCCTGACCATTTTGCAACAACAAATACTATGACAAGCCGGCACTGTTCTGTTTTTGGATTGGCCTTTCCGTTATAACCTCGTTTCCTATGGTAGGTGGCATAATAGTATTTGCCGAGTTGGTTTCTTTACAGACTTGGCAATTAGACACGTAATGTTTTATTTGACATGCCATTTTTGTCCAATAATAATACGTTTTTTCAGAACAGATTGAAAGACTAATTTCTTCCGGTGTCCACAATTTCCATTCAAATTCCATCGTCGTTTCATCAAAATTGTTCACTCTTATGTAAACTTTGTCGTTGTCGACTTTTAAATCGGGAAGTCTTTCTTGGTTCTCTATTATTGTTTTTCGCAACTCCAGGTACTCTTCGCTGTCAAACGCGGTGGTTTCAAAATCCAAGATATCATCGTTAGTTATTCGACTGCTATTTCCGAGTCAATTGGTAGACGGGATAAGGTATCAGTCACAACATTCTCAGATTCTTTTCGGTATTCGATTGTAAAATCAACAGCTTGAAGTTGCAGAGACCATCTGGGAAGTCTTCCACATAAATCTTTTAGTGATATATGCCACTTGAGACCTGCGTGATATGTGATCATGGTGAATTTCATACATTCCACGTATTGTCGAAATCTGGCAAAAAACATTTTTTTACCCAAGTGACGAGATCGTAAGCTCAATAGAAAAATAAAAATAAAATTCTTTTGGAAAATATTCTAAATCTTACAACCGCACTTATAAATATTTACATCTTTCTCCACTTGTTATGCTTTCGTTCTACCTGAACGAAGTAACACTTTAAGAATTGAACACTTTAAGAATTGGATCGAATAAACACAAACAAAAAACTGAAAAAAACAAACATACACAACATACACCTATGATACAGGAGGTTGATATTATTGCTCCCCCACAATGCCCCAAAAAGCCACTCTCTTATTACTCTTACTTACAACGCCTAACCTCCTCTCTCACAACAAAATTTAGCACAACATATTATTCTTGAAACAATTAGACATTGATCTCATTTATTTTAAACATCATTGTGCTCAACAATTAGATATTAATCTTATTTATTTTAAACATCATTGTGCTCTTACCCGAACAAAAAAATTTGTGAGTTAATACTCAGATTACCTGTTTTATTACCCCGCTAGGAGCGCCAAATTTTGGTCAATAAAACTACTCTAAATACTGCTTAAAAGAGTTCGCTTAGACGAAATTTTTGGGCATTCTAAATTCTTGTTCAAAAAAAAAAAAAAATATATATAGAAATGGTCTAGCTGTAAATTTTGAGAAAACCCTACACTCGCTAAGGAAAAATTACCTGGGCATTAAATATCCTCACAATTATCTCTTAAGCACTATTTGTCTAACTACAAACAATAAATTTATCTTATATACTATACTACACAATAACAAAAAAAAAACTTTTTAAATAGTTTTTTTCTTTCTTTTGGTTAAATGCCGATAATCATTAATCGAGGAATTTCATATTTTTTTCTATTTCTGTAGTGCATCTTCGACAAGGAAAAAGGAACTTAATATGATTCTTTTAGCGGGATTTGGCTTTCCTTCCTTGGGTTTTGGTAAGTAAATTAACTTTTAAATTACATTACCTGCACAACGGCATACTTATTCAACTTTTGTTTTCTTTTACAGCTTTTGATATAGGTGGGATCTACTGTTAGCTTCCCGGATCGGTACGGTCGCCCGTTTTACAATTTTTCACTGGCCGTTTCCCAGCTGTTTCCAGGTCTTCTGGCAGTTTCCAGGACCTTTTCTGTGCATGGAAACTCGGTGCCGCACCTGGCGATTCAAAAAACGATTGTAGGGGATGCCCGCTCTTTTCTCGTTTAAGTCGGATGGCGTTGTCAAATTGTAGATTTATGCGCGGCGTTATTTCGCTAAATAAAACACAAACTAAACACAACATATCCGACATAACACCACTTACAAATCAACACTTACAGATTGTTTAGATACGCCACACAAATGAAACTCACGAATAGTAATTGCCAACTGAGTATTTATTACAACAACAAGACTTCACCACTTTAGTAAAAAATTAAAGAAAGTGATAAGTAGACTTTTATATGTTTTCTTATACGACGTCATTCGGAGGTTATTATAATACGCGTTTTCTAACAATTTTTACAAATTTAAATAATTTTTCATTCAACAATTTCAATTCCAAAATTGGTTTGACAGTTCATTGTCTACCTATATTCTTCTACCATGCTCATGCGTAAGTATGTGTGTGTGTGCAGGCAAGCTGCATGCATTGAAAAATTATATTCACACACACATGCATGAAGTAGTTGCAGTCGTGTAAACGTTTATGAAGGGTGCGTAAGCTTCAGGTACGTTTACACCAGCCATTCATACCTTTCGTAGAGTTATAGATCCCTATGCGACTTTGCCGTGTATTGCTAGGAACACAATTGGAGCAAACGACGAATTTCGCCCTACGCGGCGACAAATTAAGCCGCGAAAATTCGTCGTATGGAACACAATACCGACGAAATTATAAAACAGCTGATGAAGTTGTTTACTTTTTACTCATTTGTTGACTACAATGAATTATACAAGAACACATAATTCTTTACGTTCTCTATTATAATTTCACTTATGTCCATCTTCTCTATTATAAATTCACTGATATCCATCTTCACTCAGGCGCAAGTACACAAATAAATAAACAAATTAATTATGTTTTTTTATACGAGTAACAGATAGTAGAGTGACCATAACAAATTTTAAAGTAAAAAGTAACTTTGTTTACTAAAACACATAAAATTCGTACAAGTATGGCCACCTTGTACTGTTTTGTTCGCCGGTCGCCGGCGTATGAAATAGAAATAAAGCTAATTGAGTTCGCGGCGACCGACGAAATTTTCGCCGGTGCCGTGATTGTGTGCACTTCCATATACACATATGTGTTTTATTTTTGACGACGAACATACGCCGCAAAAAAATTCGTCGTTCGCTCCAATTGTGTTCCTAGCATATCGTTGCGACCATTCGCTCAATTCAATTCACAAAATTTTCCAATCGGGCAGACAAATGACAGGTAATAACTTTTCTTTAAAAAGTTATTACCTGTCATTTGTATTGTATTTGTTCATTCTAACTTGTTACTTTTTATTCTAACGGAGATTTGGTGGATTGACCCGCAGTCGTAGAAATAATCCATGATTGGAACTTGTGAATTTCGTTGGAACAAAGGGAAAACGCGGAACTTGTAAACAAATATTTGTTTAACTTTCTTACAATGGTAACTTCGCCCACAAAATGTATGAAAAAAAGAGAGTGCATTTGGTAGTAGTCACTTTGTTGTTTTTATGCATTTGCAAAACAATACTTTTGTTATGATTTTCCTTCGCCATATGTACTTATGTTTTTTTTTTCAGGTAACCGGCCATGCTTGTGTATAGAAAATGCGTATAAATTAAAGTGAAAGTTATATTTAAAATTGGCAGTGCATCTGCCTAAAGCTGTTTTTGTGTGTGTCTTTGATATGAGAAAAAATAATATGAATTGCCAGGTGATCAAAATAAAGAGATTGTGTGTGGATTTATGGATTGTCAAGAAACGAGAATAGGACAATCAAATGGATTTAAATCACTGCATAAGAAGTAACCTTATTGTTTTAATAAGGGAATTTTTGCATCATAATTCAGGTAAGTGAAAAATGATTTTTGTGATTGATTATTTATAAAAAGACGAAACTGTTCGTGTGGTAATGAGCCAAGCAAAGCATACTAAAGAGTATTGAAATAGTGTGGAATTTGAAATGAGGATTAAATATTGGAACTATTTCAATATATGAAGTCGGTTTTATGGAAATGTGTTATACGTATACAAACGGTACTGAATTTAAAAATGGTTGTTTTAGTGTGATCGAATTAATCTGTGATTTTGAAATTCTGTGTTGGGGTTATCTGTTTATGGTTGGTTTATGAAAAAGTAGTTGTTTTAGAATAGTGTACTACAAGTGTACGAAAAGAACTATGTTTGGTATTAGATGATGAAGATAAAAATGAAAGACTTTTTGATGGAAAGAAAAAAAATTATTACAATTATTCTTTCTCAAAACGGAAACTTTAATATATAAGATTTTGATAAAAAAGATAAAAAGACTAAAATTATTAACACAGTTTTATGGAACATACCTAATGCTATTTTACTATGAACGACGAGGCGAACAACTGGCGCCTCGAATTATCCAGTGATCGGTGTTGGTCTACCGAGGAATAAGACCCCCTAACGCTGGAGTGTTACGTAAACCGTGCCCATTAGCGTTCCTCGGTTTGCAGTCAGGGTACCGACTGTATTCGTACGGTTGCCTCACTGATACCTGGGCGCCTCAGTGAGTAACAGGCTTAGTTGCCAAGTCCTTGCCATGGTAGGGAGGCTATGCCATGGTGGACCTCGTCTCCTCCAAGTCCGACCTTTCACATGGAGAAAAACAATAATAACAACAAAAACAAAACCCCAACTTCCACCAATGACACCATTGCTTCCAAAGAAGCACCGACCAAGGACCGGCCACAGGACATGATTTCCAATTCGGGAGGGGACGACATACTGAGCTACAGTGACGTCATCCATGACAACATCCAGCGACATAGCGAACAGTTGTCCGCCCTCCTGGAGAAGACAAAAACGCTAAGGCTCAGTCAGGAGAGTACTCCTTCTGGCTTTGGAGATGACTCACCACTTTCGGATGAGGAACTGGACATCACGGTCATTTCCTCGTCTCAAAGTGGTAAGTCATCTCAACAAGCCACCAAGAACACTCCCAGCGAGACTTGCGCGGAGTCCAAAACCCAGGAGGGAATAACGTCGGTCACTTCCGATGCCACAAGCCTCGATCGGCAAGACGCCATCATTGTAGGCACTGGCGGGGATCCTGCCAGAAACCCTACCTCTCGTGATGGCGCCGACCCAAAAGAGGTGAAAGCAAAGCGGGGATATAAAAAGTCGGTAAATTACTGGAAAAAAATTATCGGCAAAGACCCCGCGCAGATAACGGAGAGAGAGAGGATTCTGATCAAGATGAACCTCAAGGTAATTGCTAAGTTCGAACGGAACCACCCGCACTTACCGAGCTGTTCTCTAAACCAGAATCTTCTACCTCTCCTACAATCTGCTATCAGCAGTAGGGTAAACCATCCTGTGGTTCAACCTTCTGCTGAGGGCCCTGTGGAGGTCAGCAATTCCGTCGCCACTAACAAGACCACCACGGTCGTTGTTCACGAGGTGACGGCTAATGCTGACACTGCTGGGTCGAATCCACCTGCCAAAAAATAAGGCCAAGAAGCCGAAGCCCACTATGGCCGAAGCCCCTGCAGTTCCTACGGAAGAACCACACCCTGAGGCCAAGAAGGCATCCAAGGGCCCGGCTTCTCAGCCTTTGCCCACAACTTCCACTCCGTCCGCTAGCAAGCCGGTCGCGACTAAACCTCCCCCACCAGCCCCTTCAAGCTCTAAGCCTGATAAGGTTCACAAGGGAGAGGTCAAGTCACAAACGGCAGGTCAAACAGGACGGAAGAGGAAATACTCGCAAACCATCTACCCGGATAATCTTCGGGTAGCAATCATCGACAAGGCTGAACCGGAAGGTAAAATCAGCGACAGCCGATGGTCGCTATTCGAAGATCGTCTGAGGGAGCTTGTCTTCACGGGAGAGGGTGACCCACGAAGTATGCAGTTCGGCAGTGCAACCCTTTACAAAGGCGTGAAAGTAACGTGCTGCGAGAACCAGGAATCTAAGGATTACCTGGTCACCGCAGTATCTGGCTCTCGCGATCTCTCTCAGGGATGTGATCTGGCGGCTGTATCCTTGAAGGACATCCCCTGCCGTAATGTATTGACAGCTTGGGTGCCACCACCACCACCAAAGCAAGGAAAACCCCAACCTCAAAATGGACAACTGGCTTCTTGTCAGTTCAAACACTGAGGGAGAGGGCCTGGTCATCAAGGTATCTATGGATACGGATGGCCAGGAATACCTTCAAACTCGTGGGGGAAACTGCATTTCGTCGCTGGATGGATCCGTTTCCGTCTAACGCCGTTGCATTAGGTGGAAGAAAACAGCAGCTACTTAGCATCATGCAGATTAATCTGCATCACTGCAAAGCAGCTGCTGCAGAACTCCTCCTATCCCTCTCGAAAGCTGAAGTAGACATAGCTCTGGTTCAGGAACCCTTTATATACAATAATAGGGTAACTGGACTAGGGAGTGGGCAGTACGTCTCTTACGCGGTCTCCAATGGGGATAAGGTAAGGAAGTGTATTGTTGCCAAAGAGAGTTTAAACCTTATCTTCCCTAGCAACAACAGTGGAGGAGACGTTACGGTAGCGAGATTGGAGTCTAAAGGGTTCACATTTTCATATCTCTATATCTACCGTACGAGCGACCTGACCCACCTGGACATGAAGTAGGGGAGCTGCTCGAAGATCTGGCTGACAAAGGGCATCTAATCATAGGTTGTGATGCCAACGCACACCACTTCCAATGGGGTAGCAACGATACCAACGTCAGAGGTGAGTCGATTTTTGATTTTATATTAAAATATAATCTCAAAATGTGTAATAGGGGCAATGATGCAACATTCCAGATCAAAGACAGGGCAGAGGTCATTGACCTCCCCTAAATAACAAGAATGAATCCCTAATACAAGACTGGAAAGTCTCTCCTGAGTGCTCGTTTTCAGATCACCGGAAGATAGTTTTCAAATTCTTAGTAGATGGTATTCCTCAAAAACCACATAGGAATCCTAGAAAGGCACATTGGGACAAATTTACGAAGCTGGCTACACCCAGGCTTCACTGTTTCGACAACATGGTCTTAACCTCAACCCTCGATATAGACAACTCCGTAAATGCGATAACGAGTGCTTTGATTGATTGCTATGAAAAAGTCTGTCCGCTAACCTACCCAGGGAAGAAATGTCAACCAGTTTGGTGGTCAAAGCATTTAGCCAACTTAAGGAGGGACAGTAGACGACTGTATAATAGGGCCAACAAGACCAAACTACGTACTGACTGGGATGCCTATAAGGCATCCTTTAACAGGTACAA